CTAAACCCTGCATCCATTCAACAGTCTTTGTTCTAAATCTGCACGACTTTCACAATCGGGTATGGTGTAGCGGTAACATCGATGACTCTCACTCATCAGCCCGGGGTTCGACTCCCCGTATCCGAATTATGTTTTTTTCTTTTTCTTTTTCTTTTTTTACCGACTTAAGTTTGCTGAGATTGAGATTGATTTTTTATTTGGTTGTCTATATGCAAAAACCTATCTTATTATTCATTAAAAGCGAACACGGTGCTGCACGCGCCGGGTTTAGCGACACACTAGTTCGGGCCTAGCGCTGATGCAGACCCACCCGCCGCTTTGCCAATTGGCCCGTGCCGACGTCGCATCTTGCCCTGCAGCATAAATAGAGCCCACGTCCCTCCAGTCCCGAACTTGTACTCTCGACCTGACGCTCGCTCAACTTCCACCCTTTCATCCTCGCCAACGGCCGGTGTCGTTGCGCCCTCGTCCTCATCTCGCCAAACATCCTTGTTCCTCCCCCCCCATTTCCTGGCCCTTCGCCTCGGGGTCGCACCATCGCGTCGCGCGGCATCCAAGTTCTGCGGCTTACTTCCCCTACTTGCCGTCTCGCCTTCTCAACTCGCCCATCCCTCTTCATCCCGACTTTAATCGTGATTCCGACTACCCGACTTGACTGTCAACATGCTCGTCAATATACTCTACGCTGAGCGACTACGATAGCTCCCGCGCTATACCTCGGATCGCTCCACGACACCTCCACGTCCGCGAACCCCTAACCGTTCCCAAAATATCCTTCCCTTCGTCCATGAGGCGCGACTCTATGTCTGCCTGGCGAATCCTTGGTGCAATCCGCATTACCTGCCTATCCTGGCCAGTCACAAAAATACCGCACATGCCGATACGTCAACACGGAGACACCGGGAGGCCTCTTCTCCCTCGCATGGCTTTGCCCAAGACGTCTTAGTTCACGGGCTAGACGCCTTGTTTGTCGTGGTCGGACCGATTTCCAGCGCCAACTGCGGCGAGATATGCAGGGGGGGGGGGGGGGGTCACGCGGGAGATAGGGTGCCCACCTGATTCGATTGCTGTGCAGCCGTGATTCAGGCCGCAGCCGGCAGGGACGGCGAGGAGGAGCCGGAGATGAGGTCGTGGCGAAGTGGTCCAATTGGAATGAGTCCTGGAGACCAAGAGGAGGGGATCCGGTGCAGTGAAGCAGGAAGTAAGGGGACAAGGCAGATCCAAATGGTGACGTGGCCTCTCTGGTGCTGCCGGTGCCTCGCGACCTGCATTCCTGCGCACACATGAAGGACGACCCATGCCTTCGTTTGAGCGGTGACGAGGCGGATACGAAACTGGGAAGAGCTTGGAAGCGGAGTCGACTGCGCGTGAGAGCGTCTCGGTGAAACGTCAGCCTACGGTTGTTGGCATCGGGAATGACACAACGAGAGGGACAAGCTCATGCAAAAGGCGCAGGAAGGGCGCAGACGACGCGCCTAGATCACATCAGCCAAGCCGCCCTAAGCAATCTCCGGAGACGCCGTGGACCATGTGCCATCAAATCGAGGACGTGATTCGTAGCGACGACGATATCCTGCGAAGGCCACCATCTCTGGATGCCTCCTTTCCATCGGCAGTTGCGTGATTGGCAGAGGTACGGGGGACTGGTGCATCGTAGTTCTCCTAATTCCCTTACTCTGAGGAGACGTTCCGGCCGAGCGCGCTTCTCGCAAGCTATTTGGATTCAAAAGCGGATGAGCTCTTCACTGGCGCTGCGGTCAAACCCGTCCACCCACTCCACGCACATAAATTTCCCTCTTCCCCCGCGCCTACTGCATGGAAGATGCTTGACTTCACGCCAAACGCTCCTCGGAATCCGTCAGAGTTGTTGGCTTCTGCAATTCGACTGCCCTAGTGCTCTCAACACGATGGCATACATCTCCCTTGACAACCAGACCTTTTTCACACCCCCTTCAGCGGCAGGTGGAAATGCCACGGGCCGAAATCGTTCGCCTCGGAATGGGGGCCCTTCTGTCGCCTCTCTTGGAGATAAAAAAAAAAAAGCTCCAGCAAGATGCACACGACAAACAGCGCGGTTCAACAGGGTTCTCTCTGGCCGATGCAGTCCTGATCTCCAGCGACAGCGAGTCCGATTACGGCGATCTCGACGACAGTCAATCCGATACTTCTTTCCCGCCAATTGACGAGCCTCTTCCACCTGCTAAACACTATCGAATCTGGCAGTGTTCCCGGTACTAGTCTGTAGCCGAATTCTCATCTCCCGGTAAACTGTTATGTTAACGTATCTGAGCAGGCAAGAATTTCAATCCTGCATCCGGTGGTGACAGTGATGCGGAGGAGCCATCGGCTGCCGGCAGAGCCAACTCAGAGAGCCTAAGATCTGAGCCGTTGACGCTCGCCGCGCAGAGTCCGAGCCCGGTTTTCGAGGTTGTTCAAGACGGCTCAGAAGAACCATCCCTGGCCGAGATGACGGAACCAAGCCGAGCGGCTGCGTCGAGCCGACTACTGCAAAAGCCCGGCGCAGGGTATCCTGTGGCTTCCTCCCCGTCATCCTCCTCGCCTACGCCTCAACAGACTGATCCATCTCCAACGAAGGGTGCGTGGAATCCACCCGAAGCCAGCCCGGCTCTCCGAAATAGCGGCACTGCATGCGACACCAGGGTTGCGGATACACTAGGGCCTTCCCCCGACGAAGGTATAGTCGACCTACATGAGTCTGAGTCGCAGCGCGATCCTCCGCCCCTCACATCACGCGGAGAAAATTCTCGGTCGCGAGAGCGCTCGGTGTGTATTGACGCCGCCGACCAGACCGACGAGTGGGACAAGAAGCATCCATTTTCGCATCAGGCCATCAGACGCCGCCTACGTTGTCGCGCCCAACTCAGCCAGCAGCAGACATGCGGCCCAGAGCGTCCTCCAGAGCCGCCTGCCGCATCACTACCGCGGCGATTGTCTGGATCGCCAAGGGCCGTGCAGCAAGACGAGCCGGTTCCCCAAGGCAGTGCCTCGTGTGAGGAAAGACAGACATCTCCTGGGGACACCACGTGCGGCAAGACTGCCACGGAGATGTCCCGCGCGACACCGCTAGGAGTGGAGGCTTCACATTTGGTCAGCCCAAACCGTCCTGCTGTGCCTTCTCCACGATCTGAGAATAGCACCCATCGAGAGAGCATGCCGCGCCGTGTCTCAGCGAGCAAAGGCGATCGCGATGATGAAGCCATGCCGCCTCGCGTCAAGCCGAAGGCAGGTGGCAGGAGGGCTGCGGTTTGCCACGGCAACCGTTTTTCTATTGATGCTCTCGGCATCAATGACAACGATGACGAGGCCGAAGGTGTGCAGCAATCCGACAAAGACGATGACATTCGCCCGCCACCCCGCAAACGCCGCAGGGTGAGCTCGACGCAATATGGGTCCTCGCCGCCAAGATGCGGAGGACGAGGTGGTTTACAGCCCTTCTCAGGATAATGACAACGAGTGGGACGCTCAGCCATCACGACGCGGGCGCCAAAGATTCAGCTCCCCGAAACCTGCTCGCACAACAGCCACTGGATGGCAGACAAGTTCGAATTACGCCGGTACAGGATCACGACAAGTCCAGAGTCCCAGTGTCCAGTCTTCACAAAATTCCGGCGAACAAGAGTCTGTCAAAGCACTCTCTGCAAGGTTCACTGAATGGTTACTTGAGACCACAGTCATTAGGAGTGCAATAGTGGATGGTGTTACGACGTTTCAGCTACAGTTCAAGGCGGACCTCTACTGTTCAAAACATAGACGCCGCGAGCTTAGTAGCCCACAACCTGGTTGCGGTTCCAACTCGCCGGCCAAGTGGCGCAACCCGAGGCCGGGGCCTATCACGGGTGTTGCCTTGACGCCCGGCGAGAATCCTCCGGTTTTCCGGTCGGACGATGGCGTACAACCCCCGATATTGACGGAAGAAGAAGCTGAATGGGAGGTCGAGAAGATTTTAGAGACCAGGAAGCGAGGAAGAGGCAACCAAGTCCTCGTCAAATGGGTGGGCTTTGAGAAACCGACCTGGGAACCGCTAAGAAACTTTTTTGGGACGGATGCGCTGCACGCCTACGAGACGCAGCATGGGAATATCGCGCTATGACTTCGTCCTTAAAAGGGGGCCATGTTTGTGCGCTGAGCCCCTGTGAAAGCCCCCAGCAACCCGTTTGCCGTGGGCCTTGAGCGCGACCTCAGCGGAGGCCGGAGGCTTGAGAGTTCCTGCGGTACGAGGCCGGCGCTGGGTGTCAGCACGTTCTACAAAGACTAAGATAGTTCAAATTGATCCAAGCTTACCTCTGTAGGCATGCTTATGTGATTTGTGATGACTTGCGTTATCGGTCGATGACTGGCATCGATTGCTTTGGTCGAGCACTAGTGGTCGAGGGGCGACCCAATATGGTGAAGGTAGGTAAACGGATCGGAGCGCTTCCTGGAGAAAGGGAGAGTCAATTCAGACGACCTGGGGCCTCGAACTCTTGAGAAAAGAGGTTCGAGGACCCAGGAACCAGCGGCGCGCGGGAACATTTTGTAAGCAAGCCCGAGGAGCCGGAAATGGCTCCTAGGAGTCTCGCTTCTGCTAACTGTAAGTTGAAAATGGGAGGCCCGAAACCAGGCTCGCCTGTGTCCCAAATGCTGGATGCCACCGGAACGTAACCATGGCCGGGTGGGGTGGTGGAGCGCCAAGTCTTAGTGGTCTGCAGGTACACGGTACTTGTTGGAGACATGCGTGCGAAGTGTCGCGGCCGCTTAAAATGGCGGGACGCGCCAGCCAAATTCGGCGACCAGAACACCGCATTCGCGGTTTATCGAGGAAATTTTTTTATTCAAAGTCGTTTATCTTGTTTCAGGAGGCGAAAATCGCCTCCATACTTCGCTTTATTGCTTTGTTGTATTCGTTGTATCCACTTGCCGGTTGTGCGCTTTGTCTCTGGTAGATGATAATGCCTACGTTTCTATGAACCATTCAGAAGAAATTCAGAAACAAGGCCAAAGCCTGCGTAGCTTAGGGGTAGAGCATTGGTCTCATGAAAAGTATGAATCTTGAGTTGACTCGAGAGATAACCAAGTACGGTGGCTCGATTCCGCCCGCGGGCAATTCCTTTTCTTCTTCTCTCTTTCTTAGTAGTTATTTGTTGAACAGTGTCTCTTCAAAGGGTGCCACGACATTCTCCCCTACAAATCGAATCTCATAACTAGGTACAGCACATAACTGAGAGCCCACATATTGTTACAGGTTTTTTGTTATTTACGGGACTCTTCGCAAACGCTCTCCTGTGATTGACTCTTGCAAGTCCTCGCAAAATGATCAAATGAGCTGCCACCTAATTATCGCCACCCGCACCCTAGCTTTCCTTGGCCTCGCCGTGCTTCTCCTCCTTCTTCTCATCCTCCCAAGCGGCGTTTGGCGGCGGGTAGGAGTTTTCGGTGATGACGTCCTTCCGCTCCTTCTTAGGCCTCGGCGAGAGCCTCTCCTCATCATCAATCTGGTTTCCGTCGACCTCATTGTCCTCGCACTTCGCTATGGTATAACCATAGCGAGCCTGGGTGTATTGTTGGCCGAGTCGCTTAGCCACATCGTTGGCCTCATGGAGACTGACGAGTCGCCTCGTGGCTTTCTCAACACGAGACGCAGACTCGGAGCACAGGCGCCAGTTACGCGCCATATTTGAACTGTCTTCATGCTCCTTTGGTTCCTCGCTGTTTTCGTCTTTGATGAAAGTCTTTGGATGTTGAGAAATCAGTGCTGACACTGAGCTCTGTGGTCCAGAGGGCCGCTGAACTGTCTCCTGTACCCTCCCGGAAATGAAACGATCATGGGCAACCTCGGCAGGAGTACGTCCAACTGCGTTTTCTCGAAACAAGAGGCTTGGAGCGTACTCTAGGAGCAAGCGTACTAACGCAGGGTCCGCATCCTTTTGTACCAGAGCATGAAGGGGCGTATCACCCGAGCTGTCGAGCATTGCTAATGCACGCACGGCGATCTCGGGTGATATGTCAAGCAACAGCTTCAACACCTCGACGGCGTCATCCACCTTGTCGTAAGCTTTGGGGCCTGAAAAGCTGCGGTAGTAATAGTATGGTCTAGTAGCGGCAGAGGCAAGTTTGCTAAGCCACTTATGCAGTGGCGTGCGGCCTGAATTTGCAACAGTCGTCCGCTCCTTAAGCATCTGGGCGAGTACATTGCTGTCAAGGAGATCTAAAAGCCTCTTCAGCTTGGTTGCAGTCGGGTTCCAGTAAAGAGCCGCGTGCAAGAGGTTGTTCGCACCGCCGTCTTTGGTCGTCTGGTCGGCTCCGGCGTCGATGAGAATGCTGGCGAAGTCAACGCGGCCGAGGAAACACGCGAGTAGCAACGGCGTCGAACCGTCGGTAGCCTTCGTGTCAATTGACGACGGGTAGGTCTTCAGGAGATATGAGACCAACTCGTTCGACTTCTTGCTTGCCGGGGCCAAGATTGCGGCATGGATGACCAATTCGCCTAGAATCAACTGTCAGTATTGAAATCATTATCAGTTGGGCTTTTGCTCTAGAGTTGGCCTACTTGAATCATTAAGCCATTTGGAAATAGCCCCTTCAAAGCCACCAGGTGCGTGAAGAAGATGCTTCAACCTCACGTCATCTCGAGCCGACTTAGATTTGGCAAAGTCGAGGTAGTGTCTCTTCGGAATGTCACTGAGAAACCATTCAACGCCCTCAATCGAGCCAGCCATAGCGGCGATCAAGAGGGGCGAGGTTTTGGTGCCGCCTGGCTTGGTAGCCACATTGCGTCCAGCGGTTGCCCAATCCTTCCTAGAAGTTGAAATCGGTTAGAAAATGAGCAAGGGAAAAACAGAGAGCGTGGGGTTCATAGGACTGTACCTCTTCTTGCCGTACACCGTCAAACCCTGGTAGTAAATAGGCTTCTCTTTCAACTCAACTCCACTGTCCTTGACCAACTCTTCGAGCGGGAGGCCTGCGCCAGTGCGTCTGATGATTTCAGCAAGAAGCTCGGCGTGTCCGAGCTCGACGGCAACCCTGAATTCATGATCCGGGAAGGCGTAAAAGCCAGAAACGTCATCACCCTCTTCGAGTTTCTGAGAACTAAAGAGTTCGCCCATGTCGAGAAGGAACTTCAAGCTTTTCAGGTCGTTGTTGCGGATAACATGATGAAGCGTGTTGCAAGCATCGTTTGTCGACTTTCCGTGACTGTCGATCGCATTGCAGCGCCAATTTAGAAGTTCCAGCGGCTTGATCCGACTGTTCACCTTCATGGAGACAAGTCCAACGTTTTCGATCGTGAACTGCCCATCGACAATTTCACTGTAGAATCTCGGCTCAGAGTCTTCGCTGTCAACAGATTCTTCGTCTTCTTCGTCTTCCTCTTGCTCCATCCTGAAGCGGGTCTTTGGTTTCTCTTCAGGCGCGAACTGCGCCTGAGCAATCTCAAGGATTGCTTTAGCAACAGTGTAATGGCCGCGGAAGACTGCCAGGGAGAATGGGTTGTGGTTGCTGCCGTCGCGGACAGCAATCTTCAGAGGGGCCTCAAGGTTGTCATCGTCCCAAGACGTCAGCGTCAGGGTCTTGATTCTCTCGAGGTTGCCTACCCACGCGGCCTCAAACCTAAAGATATGGTTAGAACAATGAGATAATAACGTTTATACGCAAAGAAGATGTAGCTTACAGCTCGATGTAGGCAGTGTTCCTTGCCTCCGTTACGTCGTTAACGCCAGTGAAAGAGAAGACGTGTTTATAAGGCACAGTCTTTACGTCGTTAGACTTGTAATCAGGGTTTCCTAAACCCGCGAAACGGTTGTCATAGTCAGGATAAAGCTCCGAGAACGTTTTTGATCCCCTGTCAAGCAACGTCTTTTCAATCTGCTCCAGTGTTGTGATAGCTTCTTTGATAGCAACCTCTTTCTTCGGTACGCCAAGGGAGCCAAGGAGTGATGTTCTATTCTTCTCAGCAATCTCTTGCTGCTCGCGGTGGGTTTTCTTGTCGAGATCAATCTTGCTGGATACGAGCCAGTGCTTGTAAGACCCTGCGGTGAAATTGTCCAGGTAAGTGTCAATGCCGTCGGGAAGATTGGCTTCTGGGAGGGCTGCGACTTCTCCCTTGTAGTCGCGAAGCTCCTTCAATTGCTGAGTGACAATGTCCAAAGCTGATTCGGCTTTGACATTTCTATACCATGTCCTCTCCATATATTGGTGAGAGGAGCAGGTGATGATATTCGGGTCTGCTCCTCGCTCTAAGAGTTCAAGGGCAGATGCCGGGTTTGAAGAAGTCAGGGCGAGAATTAATGGCTGCTCTAGCATCTCTTTGAATCGTTTTTGATTGACTTCGAACGTGCCAAGTTGATGCTCCATGGTGGTAGAGTTCTTCGCCGACTTGAGCCTGATTCGTTCTGTTAGTTATGTCCGTTATTCAAGTTGTTTAAGTAGCGATGGAAATGGGTATAGATATTTCTTTGAAGATTGGCCCACGTACCAGGATTCAAAATCGACATGAGGCATTGCGCCATTTTCGAGCAGTTTCAAGGCCAGACTAATGTTTCCGTTTTGAACAGCAATGCCCAAGGGTGTTCGTGAAGTGTGGTACTGAGGGAAGGCAACATGGTTGATTGCCGACTTCGTTCCGATCTTGTCCTGTTCGAAGAGTGTCTGGAGGCAAGACTCGGCATTCTGCTCAACATAGTAATGAAAGGCAGTAACACCTTTTATATCGCTTTGCGCTGAAGTAGCACCAAGATCAAGAAGTGCTTCAGCCATCTCCTTCGCTTTGTCGACAGGGAGAGCTAAGGCAAGCACGAGATTCAACAAAGCACCGCTTGGTTTTTTGTCGGCTCCCATAAACTTGACAGGAAGGAGAACGTCGGCTCCGTACTCCTAATCGCCGCTGTCAGTGCCTGTACGCGTTCATGTATGTATGGGTTATTGCTTACCTGGCACAAGGCTTTGACGGCCGCCACATGGCCCTCCATGATTGCAAAGTGCAAAGCCGAGCAGGGGTAATCCCAAGCGATGACATTGATGTCATAGAAATCCGGTTCTTCTTCGTTTTCATCTGGCACAAATTCACCCTGTATCACGGATTCCTTAGATCCGACCTTGACAAAAGAACCAGTCGCCATGCTTTGACCTTCGTCGTCAGAATCCTCACCCTCAATCAGTTCTCCGTCTGATTCTTCATCTTCGTCTTCCTCTTTGCTCTGGTTCTCTTCTTTACCTTCATCCGCGTCCGTATCTTTGTCAGTTTCTGGTCCTAGTTCCTGGCGACGCTTGTCTCTTTTCCCCTCATATTCCGCCTCATTAGCTGTGCTCTTGTCCATGAGAATCTTGAGGATTTCAACATCACCGCGAGTGGCGGCGAGGTGAAGCGCAGTTCTCCCATCGGCAAGACGAGCAACAAGACGGGCTCCGGCATCAACAAGGCGTCGAACAACCTCAGGCGTGGAGCTTGTAACGGCAAGATGAAGAGGAGTTCTACCCGTGTAGTCCCGAGTGTTGGGATCGGCACCTTCCTGCGCAAGCCAGTCCTCAACGTGCTCAACATCACCATCGACAATGGCTTGGCAAAGCCGAGCAGTATTGCCAACGTACGCCATCTCCGTCCAATCATCGTCAGTGAGGGGGTTGAAAGAGCCAATTGACTGATTTCGGGTCAGTAAAGTTAGCATCAAAGCCTATAAATCTTAAAGGGTTTCCTACCTGTCTTCCGGGATCATCTTTGATGAAGGAAATCTTGCCAGAGACGTAGATCTTATCCTCCAACTCCGCACTCTCCTTTTCCTCTTCCGTCTTTGGGACAGGGCAGTAACCGCAGCAATCATGAACCACGTCCTCGAAACGGCCAAACTAAGAAGAGTTAGCCGAGGAAAGAGTGTCGTGAGGCCCAGCTTGACTTACAAATGCAGGATGGCGATGCAGGTAGACGTCCCTATCGTCAGGTTGATTCCATTCTGCGTTGAGAAGAAGATCCCTTGTATAGCAAAGCTTCTCAATCTTCTTGGCATGGAACCTCTGCCCGTAGGGAATGGCAAAGGTGTGATAGTTTGACACCTCCTCTTCGTTCACCCATTCGGCGACCTCGTCTTCATGCTCCTCTTTGATATTTCCGGCCA